TTAACCAATAGAATTTTTACTATATCACGGGTTGATCTACAAAAATTGGCCAATCAAAATAAAAGCCCGCTATGTTCGATCTATGTGGTTTATTAATACAGTATTAAAAAAGTTTTAAAGACAATTAATAGATAAGAGTTCAAGGATGACTTCTAAAGTAATTATATATTTATACGTATTATCAATATATAAATATATACCAATTGAATTTTTATTACAAATTTATTTTTACCCTATATTATCTCCTTAGGTTAACTCGATATCCTAATTGTGTAGCCCGTAGTCAATTTTATAGCACGGTTATCCGGATAACCTAACGGTTAGCCGGTTACAATACATTAGGGTACGATCACTAACCCTACCTAACCCATTCTAACCCTAACTATATGAAATAACACGGTTTATTTTGGTTGGTTTGATTATGTTACACCTGATTTTATGGGGGCGACTATATCGCTGTGCGATGTATAAATTATCTCTTAATTTAAATATAATTTTTATATATAAGTAATTTTTATAAAGTTTGTTATAACATGAAACCCAAAAACATTTTTTAAAAATATTTTATATAAAAAAAAATAAAGCTCTAAAATAATTAACAATATTAAAATACCTTATTTAATTCCTGATTTAAAATCATCAAATTACTCAATAGTAAAATCTAGCAATTGGCTTTCTGTGAAATAAAATATAATTAATAAATATAAAACTTAATTTATTATAAAATATAAATATAATAACCTAAAACATTATTTTAATTTAAATCTAATTTTGAGAATTCACTTGAAATTTCGATTGTACTTATAGGATTTGAAATGTATGTACTTATAGGCTTTGAAATGTAATTATAACTTTGGGTTAAGATTTGAGCCGAGTTTTTAATTGCTTTAGCATGTTTAAATAATTCTGTTTTCTCATTCTTTATGTCTTCTTGATATTGCTTCAAAATGTCTACTAATTCTTTAGCAGTTGGTCGTTTTTGAGGCACACTGTCTAAGCACTTATTCATTAAATCTAAAAGTAGTTTAGGAATTTCCAATCTTATTTGGGGCCTTCTGCCTTTGCTAGTAATATCCAATATTAGTTTATCATCATGTGGGATATCATGATATGGCGAATCTCCAGTACAAATTTCTGACATAATTATTCCAAAAGAATAAATATCCGACTGCTGAGTATATTCTTTACCAAGCAACACCTCTGGTGCAATATAAGGCAATGCTCCAATAATTTCTTTGGAGCCCGAACCTTGAGATAATGGTTTACATAGACCAAAGTCGGTAATATATGCCATAACTGAATTTTCATTGACAATATTACCGGAATGTAAATCTCTGTGAATTAGTCCAGCATGATGAATTACATAAAGCCCTTGAGCTATATAAAACATATTTTTTATCTTGTGGACCCAGTTCAATTCATTAAATTTATTATTCAACATTTTACGGAGATTTCCTTCTTTTGCATATTGCATAACCATCATATAATTGCTATTTTCGGGATCTTTTGTTATTCCATAAATTGCAATTACTGAATTGCATTTGCAACTTAGTTGATTTTTAATCTGAAAAATTATATAATTAGTGTAATTAAGCATGAAATTATTAAATGTTAATAATCGGAAATAATGACTCATTAATATTTACCTCTTCTAAAAATTCACTTTTTAAATCTGTAGAATTATGAAGACTTTTTAAACAAACGTTTATTTGCGATTTTCTCTTCCATTGATTATTTATGAGATCCCAATCAAAAATATATCCGTCATTCCATATTGCCTTGGAAATATTGCCAAAACCCCCTTTAGTTAGGAACTCGATATTTTCAAATTTGTTAAAAGGAATCCACTCAATGATATCTCTGAAATTATTTGCTTTGAGTTGCACTTGCTGAATTAAGTAATCAATGTCTGAATTGCCACTACTCCATTTGTAGAATTCATTTTGAAGTCTTCAAATATTGAAATAGTTGATTACTTTTGACAACGAACTTTAATTATATAAATAATTATGAAATGCAAATACTTACCTCCTAGCATTAATCGATAATGTATGAATGATTAGAGTTACAATCAAATATAAATAGCTTAATTTGATATTTAAAATACTTACTCCCTAATAAGCGTTGAAGATCGATTGGAGTTAAATCACTGTGAAAAATCTTTTCTTAGAAGTGCTTATAATCAATACTCACCGCCTAGTGGTTATTTATGGACAATTAATTGAACAGCGTTATTTGAATTGATGAGATAAAATAAGTTTTAATACTTACATTCTAAAATTTTTTATGTGGGAAAATGAATAGAAATGCATAATTATTGTACAAGAAATGTAAATTAAAATGTTATTTATATACTCACTTCCTGATAATTTGAAAACAATTATTAGTTTTTATACGATAATTTAAAAGCAAAATATCTATCATCAAAAATACATACCGACTTGTATGTGAATGATACATATTCGATTAGGTATGTTGTTTAATACGAAATTAACGAAAACTTCAAAAGTAAAAAATTATTCAAAATACTCACACACTGATAATTTGGTATTACGATGTTTAATGGTAAATTGATATTCAAAAAATTAATTGATATAATTTAATAATTTTAAATACTCACTCTCTACAGTAATAGTATAATTAAAAAGTAAATTAATATTTAATATCAATTATTAAATGTATTATTTAAAAATAATATTACTTACTCCCTAATTGATATATAATCAGTATAAAAAATATGCTGTTTTTATCATAGGCAAAAGTAAATTTATACTCACTGTCCCAGGTTTGTTGGTTTTTGATGATAAATACATGCTTTGCGCTCATCTTTTTCAACCCCAATTCCATTCAGATAGCAAATACCAACTCGTTGCACACCATCTATGTACCCCATATCAGCTGATCTTTTATAGTGATCGAATGCCTTATATTCATCCTTTTCAACACCTTTTCCATTTTCATAACAAATACCAACTTGATAAATTCCAAAAGAATTTCCCATCTCAGCTAATTTTTTATAATAATTAAACGCTCTGTGTTCATCCTTCTGAATACCAATTCCATTTTGATAATAAAGGGCCGTTTTATATATGCCTCTAGCATGACCCATATCCGCGGATTTTTGATAATGAACGAATGCTTTATATCTATCCTTTTCAACTTTAATTCCATTATCATAATAAACACCAACTTGATACATCCCACTAGAATAACCCATTTCTGCTGATTTTTGATAGAAAAGAAATGCCTCATGTTCATCCTTGTTAATACCAATTCCATTTTCATAACAAACACCAACTTGATAAAATCCGACAGGATGTTTCATCTCGGCCAACTTTATATAATTAATAAGTGCTTTGTTACCATTCTTTTGAACCCCAATTCCATTTAAATAACAATGACCAACATAATATGTCCCATAAGCATTTCCCACATCAGATGATTTTTTATAACAAGCAAACGCTTCACATAAATCCATATCGACGCCAATTCCATTTTGATAACAGTACCCTACTTGAAACATTCCATCAGAATTTCCCATATTGGCTGATTTTTGATAATAATGAAATGCCCTATGTTCATCTTTTTCGACTCCGATTCCGTTTAGATAACAATTCCCAAGACCAACCATTCCATTAGAATCATTCATTTTAACCAGTCTCCGATAACGATTAAATGCTTGAAGCTCATCCTTTTCAACACCAATCCCATTTTGATAACAGGTACCAATTAAGTACATTCCAAAATAATCTCCAATTTCGGCTAATCTTTGATAATGAATGAATGCCTCGCGTTCATTTTTTTCAATTCCAATTCCATTTCGATAACACACACCAACTTGATATGTACCATCTGAATCACCCATTGCAGCAGATTTTTGGTAATTAAGAAATGCTTTTCTCTTATCTTCTTCATCTGCGATTCCGATTCTATTTTGATAACAGTATCCAACGTTATATGTTCCTTTTGCATGGCTCATTTTTGCTGATTCTTGAAAATTTTCAAATGCTTTGCGTTCATTTCTTTCGACACCAACTTCATTTAGATAACAATAGCCAAGATTATTCATTTCTTCAGAATCTTTAAAATCATCTAATTTTCTATAACTGATGTGCACTTTATACATTTCTTTTTTATCCTCAATTATTCTCTGATACCGGTTGATACTACTTTCCTTAAATTTCTTATTTTCTAAGTTTTAATAAGTTTAATTAATAATTTAGGCTTGTTTTGAAAGGCAATTTAAATATATATCTTACCTATTTCGATCATATTTTTTGAATAAACATTCTGGCCTATTGCATTCAAATCAATCGTTTTAGACGAGTCTGCTTCATTAAATTTTAAAATTTCCGGAAGAAGAATGCACCATTGAAATTGAACAGAGTATTTTAATTTATTGACTGGAGTTTTTCCATAAGCTTTATAATTAATGTTTATCATCTTATCTTCATTATCAAAACTAAGACCCCCCAAATCTATATCGTCGTCAATAAAAATCTCTTCATCTTTCATTAAATTATTGCTTGCAGAATCATCTTCTGTAATATCATTTTTGTTAAACTTTTCACTACTATTATCTTCAATATAATTTTTGTTGGAATATTCTCCATTGTCATTAATATTATTTTTATTAGAATGCTCATCATTATTATTTTCAATATCTTTTTTAATATTATTTTTAATATCATTTTTAATATCATTTTTAATATCACTTTTAATAGAATATTTTTCTTTATTTTCACAAGCCAATTCGGCGTTAGAATATTCTAAATCTTTCCAATCTTCGCTATCTTCCTCGATTATATTGATGTTAATGTCATTATTTTTATAATTTTGAATGCTGGCTGAGAAATATGATTTGTTATCTGATGGAGGATATTTGAATGAAGTAGCAAGAATTGCATTTGTCGGTAGATTTTTTGGTACATAGATGTTAATGTCTTGAGGTACTACAAATTGATAGTTGCCTGAACTCAATATGTTTACATTTCGCGTATTAATACTGAAAAAGCCGACTTTAGAGGGTATTCCAATCAAAATCCAGGTTATTTGCATATTCATGGGTGTTTCTTTGCTAAAAAGTATTAACCAACAGATCAAACATTATTATTAAAGTAATATATATCATATAAGTAGATGAAAAAGTTCGCATACGTACTTAATCTTATTAAGGTTTTCGGCTACTGCTATGAATCCTAATGCATTCATGTCTTTGAACTTAACAATTACTTCATCAATTGGCTCATAATATTGTGATGTAACCTTTCCAAAAATTTTATAGTCGTCAGAATGCAGATGAATAGGAAATTTTACGGTATATAAATTGGCAGAATTATTAATTGATATAACATCTGCCATAAGCACTTGTTCTTTATTTTCAATAATAGATTTGGTTTCATGATAAATGCGCTTATCAAAATTCTCAAAGATTTCATATATTGGATATAAATTAGACCAGCTGACTATCTGTAATGACACATTTATTAAACAAGAGTCTAACCATTTATATAGGTCATCTTTTGTAAATGTGATTCCGTCAACTGATAATAACGTATCAATATTATATGGATTTATTAAATTTTCCCATTGTTTCAAAATATCATTAAATTCACTTTTAGCAAAGTCATTAATTTCCTTCCAATCATTTTGAAAATTCGGGTCTGTTTTTGTACCAGCGTATAAACATAGACTATGTCCAAGAATGACTTTTTGGGGTAAAAAGTGTCCATATTTTCTAAATACATTAATTAATTCGCAATAAGGATTATGATGTTCCAATGCTTTTTTTGCTTCAATTATCAATGTCGAAGATGGCTTAATTGATTCCTTTTTAAAAATTAATTCAATTTGCGAATATCGTGTTTCGATATAGACATCATATGAGTCTGATGTGTATGTATCAGTCAAAGGATTGTTCTCAATATCAGTACCAGAAATCCAGTCAATGTTGTTTAAATCAATAGCAGATCGCTCAATACAATTCTTTAATAAAAAACAATCTCTTTTTGAATTAGATGATAGTCTTACTTCTAAACTGTTGATAGCATTTATTTCGGGTTGTGATTCAAAGATGCATGCAGAGGAATCTGCAAAATCTATTTTGTGTGCGTTAACAAGCAAACCACGATTAAATCCTATCATTTTAACTATACTTAATTCTTCGATTTTTTGACCTATAGCCCTCAAATGAATTTTTTCTATGCAGGAATCAGGAGGAACGTCACCTGCGTTAAGTTCAAAATTTTCTGGAAAATGAAGAATGTACCATCGGATTGAGACTTCAAATTTCTCAAATTCATCGTCATTCTTATAAAGTTCACTGTCTGTATCGTTTTGAAATGAGGAACTGTAATCATATATCTTAAGCTTAATCTCGTTATTATGATAGTACTGAAATTTTGCTACGAAATTTGGCTCATTGTTTAATGATGGATATATAAATGAAGTGGCAATAATTGAATTTGGATGTAAAGGTTCTGGAACTTTTACAGTGACATTCAAATTTAGAGGACATTGATTGGTACCAGAATTCAATATAATAATGTCTCGTGTATTTGTGCTGAAGAATCCAACTTCACCAGGTATTCCAATCATTAACCAAGTAATTTGTGAATTCACAAAAAGATTTTCTCTAAAAATAAGTAATAAATTATAATGTAAAAATAGGTAATAAAATGGAATAACTTAAAAAGAACACTCACTCGGTTGTGTTAAAGTTCTCGATTTTTGCGGAAAACCCACGTATGTCCATGGATTTAAACTTAACAACCGCTTTGTCAAGTGGCATTCCATGTTGTGTCATAAGTTTTCCAAATATTTGATATTTATTAGAATTCAAAATAGTTGGAAAGGTTACACGATAATAATATGCACCATCTTCGATTAAAATCGATCCTGTCATTAGCACTTTTTCACTGATAAAGTTTTCTGCTTGATCATTGATTCCCAAAACGGATTTGACTTTTTGACGAAGGTCCTTTTCAAATATTTCATATAATGGATACAGTTCATACCATAATATGGGTTTTAGTGAATTTTCATAATTTTCTAAACAACTTCTCATCCATTTTTCAATGTCATCTTTCATAATTATATCTCCATTTATTGACATTAAATAAGTTTTATCGATACTATATGGGTTTATAAAATTTTCCCATTGACGCAAAATATCATCATATGTATCTTTCATAAAGTTTTTGGTCCATTCAGTTGTCCGGATGCTTGGTTCTAATGACTTTTCATTTGTAATTAAGCAAGTCATTCGGTATATTTTATTTCCAAGAACAACCTTTTTAGGTATAAAGTGTCCATAAGATCTAAATACTTTAATTAATTCGTGATGAGGGTTATGATGCTTTAACGCCTCCATTACGTTAGCTATTAATGCTTCAGATGGTTTTATTGTTCCCTTTTCAATGGTCATTTCAATTTTCGAATATTGGATTTCCAAATAGATAACATTTACAGGTGATTCACCATTGAATAAATTTTTGGCAAATTTTGTAGTAATTTCATCTAAAGCGGATAGTTCGATATGATTTTCCAGCAGAAAGATGTCTTTTTTCTTTGTAGAAATCACTAGTCTTGCTCGAAATTTTCCGGGTGAACTGTTGTTTGAAGGTCGTACACTAAAATCACTCGCTGAAGAATTTGCAAAAAAATGGGTTTCTTGCCCATTGATAAATTTAATTAAGTCATGCTTAAATATTTCTGATTGATTATTGATTCCTATAGCCTTCAAATGAATCGTCTTTACAGTAGAATCAGGGTCAATATCGCCCCCAATAAATTCAAAATTTTCAGGAAAGAGAAGAATAAACCATTGGATTGAGACTTTAAAATTTTCAAATTCATCATCACTATTAGAAAGCTCGCTATCAGTATCATTTTGAAGTAAAGAACTGTAGTCACATATTTTAAGCTCAATCTCATTATTTTTATGGTAGTACGGAAATTTAACTACAAAATTTGGCTCATTGTTTAATGATGGATATATGAATGAAGTGACAATAATTGAATTTGGATGTAAAGATTCTGAAAGTTTTACTGTTGTATTCAAATTTGGAGGACATTGATCGGTACCAGAATTCAATATAATGATGTCTCGTGTATTTGTACTGAAGAATCCAACTTCACCAGGTATTCCAATCATTAACCAAGTAATTTGTGAATTCACAGTAAGTTTTTCACTAAAAATAGGTAATAAATTATAATGCAAAAATAGGTAAGAAAATGGAATAACTTAAAAAGAACACTCACTCAGTTGTGTTAAAGTTCTCAATTTTCGCGGCAAACCCACGTATATCCATAGATTTAAATTTAACAACCGTTTTATCAATTGGCATTCCATCCTGTGTCATAAGTTTTCCAAATATTTGATATTTATTAGAATTCAAAATAGTTGGAAAGGTTACGCGATAATAATATGCACCATCTTCGATTAAAATCGATCCTGTCATTAGCACTTTTTCTCTAATAAAGATTTCCGATTGATCATTTATTCCCAAAACGGATTTGACTTTTTGACGAAGGTCCTTTTCAAATATTTCATATAATGGATACAGTTCACACCAAGATATGGGTATTAGTGAATTTTCACAACTTTCTGAACAACTTCTCATCCATTTTTCAATGTCATCTTTCATAGTTATATCTCCATTTATTGACATTAAATAAGTTTCGTCAATACGATGTGGCTTTATTAAATTTTCCCATCGACAAATTTCATTGTATATCTCTTTTGTAAAATTTTCGGTCCATTCAGTTGACCAGATGGTTGGTTCTAATGATTCTTCATTCGCAGTTAAACAAGTCATTCGGTATATTTTATTTCCAAGAATAACTTTTTTAGGTACAACATATCCATAAGATCTAAACACTTTAACTAATTCGTGATAGGGATTATTATCTTTTAATGCCTCCTCCACTTTATCTATTAACGCTTCAGATGGTTTTATTGTTTCCTTTTCAATGGTTATTTTAATTTTCGAATATTGGATTTCTAAATAAATATCATTTACGGGTGATTCATCATCGAATAGATTTTTAGCAAGCTTTGTAGTAACTTCATCTAAAGCGGATAGTTCAATATGATTTTCCAGCAGAAAGGTGTCTTTTCTCTCTGAAGAAATCACTAGTCTTGCTCGAAATTTTCCGGATGAACTGTTGTTTGAAGACTGCACGTTAAAATCACACGCGGAAGAATCTGCAAAAAAATGTATTCCTTGTCCGTTGATAAATTTAATCAAGTCATACTTAAATTTATGACGCTTTAAAATAAAATAATAAAAGCAAGTAACAATAAAAATAAAAATAATGATTGTGATTGTAAACATGTCTAGCTCAAACATGATATTTAAAGCAAAATCTTAAGAAAAGTTTACGTTTAGCTTTGTACTAGAATAATCATGATTATTAGAAAAAAGCTTAATAGATGTAACATTTCACAAATAAGATCTTTCTTTTTTCGGAGTTGTTTACTTTCAAGGGCACCTGCCTAAAGTTACTGATGCAGTAGATAACGATAATATTGTCTTAGACACGGTTCACAACAGGAAAGTACCACGTTGTACCATATAAATTTGAAAGAAAAAAATAAGTTCCTTGTGTAGTACGTACTGTGCTGTTTTTTTATCGTTACAATGGGCGATATATTAATTATTATAATAATTACTGTCGCTACAATTATTATCTCTACTATTATCATTATTTATCGCAATTTCAATCTTAAACAGCTGGATGACAAAATCAAAAATAATTCCATCGAAAGCAATCAAGATTTCAATCTTAATCAGCTGAAGGAAGAAAAAGGATTTAAACTCAACGAAAATTCCATCGAAAGTGCTAATAATCAAGCCTTTGAAATTGATATCTCCAAAACCAAATTAGTTCAATCAACTATCGCTAGAACCTATTACTCAAAATGTGAACTTTCATGTGACGTTTCATGTAAACGAAGCTTAATATTAGAGACTAGTATTGAAGCGGCTTTAGATTGGTTTTCTGCTTCTCTTGGACTATCTCGAAAAACTTCTAAACAAAAGCACGAATACTATATGCAATCGACAGAACACTTACATAATGTGTACATAAGAGCTGAACTTACTATTCAAAACTCTTGTATCAGCCCTAATGAAAGTTATGTAAGAGATATTGAAAATGCAGTAAAGGATACGTACACAACTAATGATAAAATACAAAACCTTCGTCAAGTATCAGAGAAATATGGCCACTTTTATGCACACAGTCTTTTTATCGGAGGAGCTATTATTAAAGATATAGAACATACTGAAAGTTTAAGTATGCATTTAGTATTTATTGATATGCTATTTCTTTTAATTCATATATTTAAAATGATTTTTATACTGTTAATAGGTGAAAATTCAACATCTAAATCTACTAGAGCACAAGTTGATATAGGTCCCAATTTACCGAACAATACTTTACGTGCACGCGTTGATGTTGATATTACTCGTGAAAATGTGAACAACATGAAGTTTTCTAATAGTAATAAAGAACAGAACGTTCGAACTATTGGTGGAGATGAGCTCTCATATGATGATCAAGATCCCTCTACTTTAAAGCCCTGGATAGAATCCCTTAGAAAGCCCATTACATGGAAAATAATTGGATATAAAAAAATTTATCCGCTATTTGAATTATTGGATGAAGAATTACAAAAAAAAGTTTTGAAGGCTTTGGGTCCTCGAATTTTAAAATGTATGAATTTAATTTATTAACATAAAATTTTTACATTTTACTAATTTATGATAAAATTCTAAACAACAGCAGGTATCGAAGTAGCTAGGTTTAATGGCGATCCAGGAGAATTCAAACCACATATTTGTAATTTGACTTCGCAAATTTATGAGATAAAGAATATTGACCAATGTCAGATTTTTGCTTCAATAGTAAGCAAAGAGGAAGATAACGTGTTTTCTTTACATGTAGATTTTGAAGATCGAAATCCAATGTTACCTGTAATTGTTGTTCACCACATTCAATGGAATGACTCTAGAATTAAAAAGTTTCTAAAGAAAATCAAAAATTACTATGAAGCTAAACTTTGCTGGATTATTGTTGGAGTACCTACAAGCTTTGACTTTGAGCAGATCCATCATCCGTTAACACTCGCGAGTGGAACATATTCAGCTTCTGAAAGTGAAAATCTCTGTATTGTAGAAATTCCTAACTGTGAATCTTTAAACTTTAACCAAACGTGTGTATTATGCACTTGTAAATTAGAAGCAACGAAGACTATTCAACTTACTCAACCTCCTCCAGTACAACAAATTAAATATAATCCACAGGATTCAAAGATTGTTGTTGGTACTCATTTTACTCCTTGCAATAAGTCGGCATGTTTGTTTGCTTATAATTTCGAAAAAAATTTTGTATATGATGAAACAATTTTGCAAAAGATGTCATTGTTTTTTTGGTAAGTAAAAATTGCCGATTTTCTTTGAAAATTTTGTTAAACCAAAATTACTAATCATCTTATATAATAACAGTGCTGTTGATGGGAAAAATTCCTCTCAAATGCACAATTATGGTCAAATGTGTGTAGAATGGCACAAATCTGGTAACGTATATTGTGGTAAAAATACTGAAGATAAGAAAACCTTATCTATGTTGACTGATAGTTTAGAGCGCCCAATTTTAGTAAATCAGCTTTTTGACAACTGTTCTAATTGCCAACACCATGGATTTATTAATATTAATAATTCTGGAAAAATTATTTATGGTCAGTTGAACAAAAAACAATTAAAAATTGCCAATAGAATTGCTTTTCTTTCAGTTTAGCCAGAAAATTCAAGTCTTTTATCATCATTTATAAAAATATTGCTCATATAACTATGTAAAATTACTGGTTTTTTTTAACCTTTTTTTAAATGTGTTCTTGGCTTATATTAGAATATTTTCCTATGCAGCTAATACAAACATTAGAATTAAGATTCTAGAAAGACTTTTAAATACTAACTTGAAACAAGACAATTTTGATAAATTCAATATCGCCAATTAATGCTATTATAATGCACATTCTGAAAATTTCTTATGCATGCATTTTGATTACGCATAGTAAAAATATACACATCTTTAATATTCGTAGTTTTTGTTTAGCACTCGACCTAGATTGTTTTTAAATTGACTTATTAAAATATTTTGTTATAAAATAATGTGAACCGAATTAAGTATTTTTTTTTTACTAATTATATTTCATCCTTTAACTGTACTTATTTGTCAGCGCAGAATAAAATCCCATGTATCGTAAAAGCTTATGATTTTGAGACTGCTAACCGACTAATTTATTAAAAAATCCTATTATTAAAATTATTCCTTCATTTTAGTTTTTGCACAGTTAGATTTATAGAATAGATCAAAGTCAGTAATGATATCTTCAAGTCGCGATGAAAGAATAGACTATAACATGAAAATATGTACATAGAAATATCTTGAATAACGAAAAGAATTAACAATGAGATTTTTTATATCAACTTTTATCATTCATTATAGAATAATAATTTATATTAATATCCATTTTTTCCTTTACTATTAAGTCTTATTACCGTTTTATTATCTAATGCAATGAATCTATACTAGAGTTGGGTAACGAAACCCGAAACTATATATAAAATCCCGAAGCTTTTTTCGAAACCGCGAAACCTTTTCCGAAACTCTATACTATACTGAAAGGGTTAGGAATTTTAATTTTAGACTTTAAGACATTAAGTACATGATAATTAGATTGCATTTCAGAAATTGTTTGGTTACTTTATAGTAAATGTGCATTAGTTATTAACATTTTAATTTGAAGGTTTCAGGTCACAACTCTAATCTATATTGTAATTTATGACTATAAAAGTCTTATAATCTTGGCAATAAATTATGTTTGAATTTTTTACTTTAATAAAGATCATATATAAATTGACATTGTCAATTTTACCAATAAGTGACTTTTCTTACATGTATATATATTTCAATAAGGACGAATAAGTTTAAAATCATTAAGTCTAATTCCATGTTTCATAAGTAATTCTTTGCTTTTATCTTCCACCTGAAAAAATCCAACTTTAATAACGTTAAGGACTTTAAGCTTATTATTGCTATTCAATTTATCAATAAATGATTTAAAAGAATCAGAAGAGGGAAAATAATACTTGGTCGTAATAATAATGTTTAAAAGATTTAATGATGGTGGTAGATTTCCAGCTATCTCAATAAAATTTGCATCATAAAAATTATTCTCCGTATAGAATTTTAGTACCCTTAATTTTTGACAATTAATTAAAATCGATTCAATTTCAGAATTTGATAAAGTACGAATATATAAATGAATAAGGTTTGGGCAATTTTGAACGATGGTGCTAATAATTTCCGACTTATTATCTAGAGTTAAAGGAATGATGGATAATTCCAGGTATTGAAGGTTCATGTTTGCAGATTTTATTATTTTTATAATTAAGGGTACAGCAAATTGATTAAAATTGCCATTGTTGCGGAATATAAATTTTTGTAATTTTTGATCGAAATATTGCATCCAAGAATTAATAGTTTCTTGATTGTATTGCTTAAAGTCAATCTCTTTTAATGAAAGATTTACCAGAGAATTAGATCGTTTTTGTAAAGATTTAAATATTTCAGAAACATTTCTGTACCCGATTATTTCAAGATATTGCAATACATTTGATGCTTCTATGAGTTCTGCCAATGCATTAGCTTCATTTTCTTTATCTAGATCATCTAGATAAGCATCTTCTCGAATAGTAATGTGTTCAACTTTTTTAACAAATTCTGAAATTTGTTTGACAAATGCTGGAATGTTTCTAACAAACGTTTCTTCATTTATTTGCGAATAAATAAATAATCTCCTTAAGTCTTGCAAGCTTTGTGTATCTTTATTAATAATCGGTAGAATTGGTGATTGAATATTCCCATCAAGGTGAATGAATTGAATTTTTTTTGCCTGCTCAATTAAATTTTCGATTAATGTCTTTCTTAATATTTCTGTGTAATATGTCTTTTGTTTCTCCAATTTCTTTTCGTGAATAATCCAAGAGTCTGCTACGTTATAGATAAATGAAAAATCTAAAATTTTCATAAAAGATGGATATTCAAATTTGGGGGATGATGCAGGTGGTAAGAGGAATCCTTCGTTTTTCAAAAACTCGTATCTATTCTCGGTAAGACAAAGTAAATAAGTTCTAGCGAGAAGTTTTAAAAATTTCCATGATTTTTCATCTGGTTGAGGAAAGCAGTTAGGAATAAATGGAGCTTGCCAAAGAATAGGCATTGCTGTCTCACACCATAATTTGTTGACAAAAATGCATGAATATATTTTGTAAAGTTCTGAATATTTAAAAATTTCTCGTAATATATCAGCATTTAAATATAAATTCGAAGATTTGCTCGAGATTTTAGTTAGACTAATCGGTCTACTAACATAATTTGAAATTTTTTGAAAATCGTATAGTTTACTAGTATACATACCTTGAGATTGTACTAATTTAATCAGGTTTAGTTTAATAATTTCAAAATCCAAAGATTGATTTTTGATTATTTCTACAATTTCAGTTGCAGTGGGTCGTTTATCAGGATCTTTATCCATACATTTCACAGCTAATTCAATATAACTATCTGGTCCTAAACATTCAGGTCTTGATCCATCGATAATTCTAAAAGCAAGATCTTCATCAAACTCGATTCCATCAAATGCTCTTAGTCCGCTTGAAATCTCTGTCGCGATAATTCCAAGGCTATAAATATCTGATGCTTGAGTATATGGCTGACCCATCAAAACCTCAGGCGCTATATACGGTAGAATTCCACAAATTTTTCCTTCCTTTACTTTTTTTGAAAGTCCAAGATCAGTAATATACGCATCATGTAAGCTATTTCTTTGCAAAATATTTCCACTGTGTAAATCTCTGTGAACGAGTTCCTGCAAATGAATCGACTCGAGATCTAAAGCTATATAGTACAAGATACCCAATTTATCTTTCCATTCCAGTTGTGATACTTGTTCAAGATTTTGCCGTAATGAACCTTTTAATGCATAATCCATAACAATAATATAGTCACCATAATTATTTCTTGATACTCCCCTACATCCCAAGAACGAAGGATTCACGTATCCAATTTCACAGTGATTTTTCAATTCCTGGATAAATTCTTGCTCATTTTCGTTTGAATTATGAATCACTTTAAGTGCAACATTATTCCATGTACCATTAACTCTATCGAACCAACGTGCGTAATATACAGTTGCAAATCCTCCTTTTCCAATTTCCTGGAAATTTCTGAATTCATTATAATCAATCCAAGATAATTTAAATCTCTCATCATCTATTATTCTCTTAAGTTCCGGATTAATATGATCTGGTGATTTATTAGTTTTCAAAAGAATTTTATGTTTTCTGAACCAATAGTTTGCACTCTGAATGTCTCTCTTTGTACCAATACCGTTACGATAACATTGAGCAACATTACACATTGCTATTTTAACACCCATATTAGCAGATTTATTATAATATTCAAATGCTTTATTATAATCTTGATCAACCCCCAATTCATTTTCATAATGAAAACCAACCATATTTATTCCGAAAGCATTATCCAAATCAGCCGATCTCTTACAATATTCAAATGATTTCTGGTAATTAATTTCTACTCCAATTCCATATTGATAACAAATACCAATAGCATTCATCGCATCCGAACTTCCCAACTCAGCTGCTCTCATATAATATTTAAAAGCCTTCCTTTCGTCTTTCTCGATACCAATACCATATTGATAACAAATACCAATAGTATTCATCGCATCCGAACTTCCCAACTCAGCTGCTCTCATATAATATTCAAAAGCCTTCCTTTCGTCTTTCTCGATACCAATACCATATTGATAATAAATACCAATAGCATTCATCGCATCCGAACTTCCCAACTCAGCTGCCCTCATATAATATTCAAAAGCCTTCTTTTCGTCTTTCTCGATACCAATACCATATTCATAATTGTAACCAAGTGTAAAAAGTTGTTCAGAATCCATTTTTTTTTAAAGAAATTTTAAAGAAAAGATCATCATACCAAAGCGTAGCGGAAGATATTTAATGTTTAATCAAAGTGATACAAAAGTTACAACAATTGTTATGTTTTTGATTAGCGTTACTTACCATATTAAACCCAGAAAACTGTAGATCAGTCATGTAGACTCGTGAGATTGCGTAATTTGATAAGTTCACGTGATCTTTACGTATGCAAATACGTAATTCTCGCAACTACCATACCTACCATACATGTATATAACTAAAAATTGACTATTGTTACTCGGGTGACTCAGGCTACTTAAGGCATTAAAGTAACCCTCGGTTTGTTTTTATAACAGATGGAGGCAGGTCAATATCTAGGTAGACATAATATAATCGATCAATTATTAAACCAATAATTGATCAATTATGTATGCTCGAGCTTATAAATTCAATGCTTGATCGATCATACTCGATCAAGCATATATAATTGATTTTTGATCGATCAACGATTTTTTTGTCGAGTCAATTCCTACATGTATACATAATAATATTTGTTTGTGAGTATTTTCTACGGAATCACGTTACTATGACTCTAATCATTTTTTAGCTTATGCATATAAAATATTTATAGTGAGAGAATATTTTTTTACAGCTAGAAATTTATAAATTTAAATTCACATTACAGTGATTCTCACCAGTCAGTAAGTAAATTTACATTACTTTAATTTAATTGAATCGTCATTTAAATTGAATCATCTTGACTCTATAATATAAATGCATATAACACTATAGCACGTAAGTATTTATAATTAGAAATTTTAAAATCGCTAATTCAAAAAAAAAGATTATGATTAAATAATCATTTTTTACGAATTGTTATAAAAAATTCCGAAAGGTTCAGATAAAATAGAATATACACAATTATCAGTTATTTATTCTTTTGGAATCATCATGTCTGAAATTTTTACAGGATATCCGCCATATTACAATTCTCTAATGATATTGGTTAGCAGTGAGAATTTGTGAAAGACAGAGGCCTGAAATTAGTTTTCATACACTTTTGGATTTAATGAATAGATGCTTGGATGATAAGCCTCAAAAGTAAATCTTTTGGAACGATTTTGACTGGATATAGCTAGCGAAAAATCTGAATTATATAAACAGGCTAATGTTACTGAAAATTTTACTAAAAATTTTTCAGCAGGATTCAACTATCAAATACATAAAGAAGCTAGTTATAAGAGCAGATCTTTAAATTTTCAGGAAGGTATGTAACAGTTAAGTTTGCATTTCAGAAATAAGCTTTTAAATTATTTAAATTGCTCTAAACTTGCCTTTAGGAAGCAAATCTATTGGTTACGTTAATATTCCTAGAGATGCGTAATATGTTAAATTTATAATTTAAACAAAAATTTTTATTTTTGAATTTATGTAGATATATAAATCTATGTTAATTATAAAATGCATATGTGATAATTCTGCACATATTGTAGTTTTATTATTTTTTTTATATTTTTTTAAGGTTTTATGTGTTTCAGTTATGTATCTTAATTCAAATTTTCATGTTAAAATTATATTTAAAGTCAGATTAAGATTTAAAAAAGGTTTTGAGTGTAAACCATTTTTACCCAGAGTTTTATATGCTATATATCAGTTTATGATTTTAAGTTAGTATATGTATTTTAAAATTTATACCGATTGAAATGTTACATACGTCAATATGACTACACTGATTTGATTGATTTAATAAATTTATTGATTGCAAATATTTACCTTCTCTTTTGTTCAATATGACTAAAATAATTTGTTTTTTTATTTTATTTTATTTTTTTATCTTAAACATATGAGTAATCAAAAAAAATAAAGGACATTTTAAATCGTTCAAAATATAATCATTGTTTTAACATTTTTGCAAAACTTTACAAGCACAGATGAAATTCAAAGTTTAAATATTAAGGTTCTTTATAACTTTACAATAATTAAAGTTGAAATATCGAAGAGTTAAGATTAAAGTTTCAAATCATAATCGCGGTAAAAAATTTGTCTTATTAAAGATTTTTTACACAATAACTTGTCAAGTTTATCATGATATAGAATATGGTGACGCTTGATATTATTCTACTTGGCACTTTTATCTCCCTAAAAAATGCCATGTCATAGCAAAATTTGCATGACCACTACACACAATCAAAAATATCAAAAACAAGTGATCGAACTAATAAAAAACAAGGAATTCAAAATAATTGAGTTACTGCAAAACAAACTGCAAATTAAGAGCTGTTCATATTATACACACTGCACCAAACATTATGAATGTGTATTACGAGGTGAATGCAATAACCATTAATGCTTTAAATAAAATTCTCAACAGGACGTTGTTTTTCTAAATAATTATGCTTGTTACTATATCAAGATTGTTATTGTTGAAGTCCATTATGAGGTCAAAAATGCAATGCTCGAATAAATATTATTATAAAATGTATATGATGCATAATTTTTATCATTATTTTTTTCCATTATACATGTTATAATCAGGGTTGTCACGTTTACTATGTTTGTTCTATTGGCTCCTAATTCTATTCACTTTTTTCATTTTTCTATTGTAAATTTTCAGTATTAAATTTTACTAATTAAATTCAAAAATATTTTAAATTTATTATTTTACTAATGGTCTAACAATATGTTTTTAATTATTGCAAATTATTAATAAAAAAAATTTTTTTTATATAAAGACAAAAAATCAAGCTTTTATTCTATTGTTCTATTTGCCAACACTGGTTATAATATGTCAAATGTGATTCCAAGAATTATCATAAATCCCAAAACGACGTATAAAATATTTAATCAATTCAATTACAAAATTACAAACGAATAATAATGTCAGCATTGCAAATAAAACATTATCACTATTTAGATTATAGTTAAATTACAGAATATGTCTAAACATTGAATTTAAAAGTAACAATATTTCTGCTAGGTTTTTTTAACAATCTTTCTCCTTGCTTACTATGACAAAGATTCAATACGGTTAATCTGTTGTCTTCTTCCACGAGAATATTTCCTCCTCTAAAATCGATATTATTAAATTGAAGATCTAATACTTTTAAAGTATTATTTTTACGGAGAGCTTTTACAAGTTCATCCACATCTTCTAAACCAATTTCAGTAGATCCAAGCTTTAAAGTGGTTAGAGCAGTATTTTTATAAAGAGCTCTTGCTAATGCTTTTATGCTTTGTGAACCAAAATCGTTTGACCAAAGACTTAAGGAAGTCAATGTAGAGTTTTCACCAAGTGCTTTCGCCAGTTCTCTTCCTACTTCAGAATTAAATTTATTATCATCAAGTTCTAAAAAGCTTAAAGAACTATTTTTGCAAAGAGAGTTCGCCAATGCTTTTCCTCCTTTAGGACCAAAATTATTTGTACGAATACTTAAAGATTTCAAAGTTGTGTTTTTACAAAGTGCTTCAGCAAGTGCTTCACCTCCTTTAGAACCGAGTTTGGTATCATCAAGACCTAAAAAAATCAATGTGGAATTTTTGCAAAGTGCTGCCGCTAAAACTTTTGCTCCATCAGAACCAATATTATTAAAACCAAGATTCAAATATTTCAATTTGGAATTTTTACAAAGAGCTGCAGCCAATTCTTTTGCAGATCCTATACTGAGACTATTATTATAAAGATTTAAATAAATCAATGGTACATTTCTATAAAGAGCTCTCGCTAATGCTTTTACACCATAATAACCAATTTGATTCAAACTAAGATCCAAGGAGGTTATAAAAGGATTTAAACAGAGAACGTCGGCAAACATTTTTCCCTCGTCATGACCAAGTTCATCATTAACAAATTTCAAGTCTATCAAGGAGGTATTTCTACTAAGATTTTCGACTAAAGCTTTCGACCATCCATACGAAAATTTATTCATCGAAAGATCTAATGAAATTATAAATTCATTTTCAAAAAGGTCTTTTAAATTATTGTAACTCAAGTAGCTATTGGTTATTTTTAGGTAGTTAACAAAAGTGAATCTACAAATGTTTTCTAACAAATCGTCAGGAATAATTCCTTCAATGGATAAAAATTCAAGATCTATACACTTTCTTATTAACATTTTAATTAGAGCGCATTTGACTACATGAATTGCATTTAAGGAATACATAAATATTTTATAATCTTCTTGTTCACGATAACTTAATATTAAATCATTGTAATCGTAAAAATTGCGAGAGCTACCCATATATCCTTCACTATAGAGCCAATTCCTGATTCCAGATACCAAATTAGAGCCATCAATAGATCGGGTAAAAGAAATATAATCAAACAAAGGATCCGGTTCAGTTGGAAGGTTTATATTAAGAGGGATTAATAACGATTGCTCTTTATTATTTAATGAAAAAAGATAAATTCTTATAACATCTTTAAGTTTTTCGCCTTTACAAATGTTTAGTGGATTACTCCATAATATTGGTATTGCAATTCCACACCATTGACGGTTTACAAGAACGCATGAAAATAAGTTTCCAGGATCGGTAATAAAGTTTTTTAATATCTCAGCAAAACATTCATCTGATAATTCTTCCATTATACCTTTTTTTTTTTTTTTTTTGAATAAGTTATTAACCTCAAATTTGCGTACGCATATAAATAAATAGTTGCGTGTGCTCATGAGTCACGAAAGTTCTAATAATCTGAATTAATTTGACCTTACTTAACATTAAAAAATTAATCATAAAAATTTGAAGGCACATTTACCTGAGAGACGTGTAAGGGATAATAGAATAATAAATATTTAATTTTATATCACGAAAAGATAACAAAATATTACAATTACCAACTATAACTATTAAATTATATCGATACGTATGTGAAGCAGGGTTGAAAAACCTATATTAAATAGTAGCCATTTGAAATATCGTTCTTGGTTCACATTAGAATAAAATCCGAGGTTCTTATTATTTATCTACAGTAATTGTTCAGAATAATTAATATTTAATTTTTGAAGCACCAATTTAAATGACCACTATTTAATACATATCGCTTAAGCCCTGATTTGGAACAGAGCGCACAAAAAATTTCGCGAATTCATAATTATGAAATAATGACGACAATGTGTAATATATATATTAAGAATTGCAGGGGTAATTTGACCGGTTCTAAACCGATTAGGGACTAGTCG